TCTTCCACAGCCTGGATAATCACAAGAGAATGGCTTTTTCTCCTCATGGAAAGAGAGGATATGGCTTTGAAGGTTAAATACAGTTGTGTAAGTTCTCCCACATCCTTCTCTCGGGCATCGGAAGACTTCCCTCTTCACAACATGTGTTTTTTGATGCTCCTTTAGGTAATCTTTCCGTTTAAAAGTTTTGTGACACTCCCTGCAAACTATCGGCCCTGAGTTGGAGAGAGACAGGCAGAGTATAAATTTGCAGCTTCTTACAGAACCTCAGAATCACACCCTACCAGTCCTCTAGAATAATGCTAAAATCCACATGAAATGCAAAGAACTCAGAGACTGGAAGAGAATAACGTAGTATGTGTTATCCAGATCTGAAATCCTACATTATACAGTTTCTCCTTAACCGGATCACAAAGCAAAGTTAGTATACTGAGTAGTATTTTCATCAGTTAAAGGTCTAGCCAGAGTGACAGCCATTTTACTGATAAAGTGTTAGTGAAGAAGTCTGTCTAGACACAATGACAAGTTGATGAAATTAGTTCAGCAAAGACTCCCCTTCAATTTATTTATATTTACTAAAGCATTTGGAGTTTACCTGTATGACTTTCTTTATTATGATTCAGAAGCTCTGTCCAAGTTTTTCCAACAAATGAGCAGTTTTCTTTTTTGCATGCATAGCCTGTTGGACAGAACAGATGTTTAAAGTCACAAAGGTTCTGGCAAACACAGTCCAGTTTTACAAGGGGAACTCCACTTTTAGCATTTGAAAATCAAAGGTCAGTACTCCTCTCCTCCCAGACTGCATGGTCGTTGGACAAGATGCCACCAACACAAATTAGAACATGAGAAAATCCCAACAGGTTTAAGGAAGAAACTTTGCATCAATGACACAAGTTGTCCAGAGAAGTTGTGAAATCCCTACCCCTGGAAACATTCAAAACTTGACTGGATGCAGCCCTCAACAACCTGATCTAACTCCACCTTGAACAGGGAGTTGGACCTCCAGAGGTCCTTTCCAACCTAAATGATTTTATGAAATGCTATGTCTCCTTGCTTCAGTAAAACTACTTCCTCACCAGCCATATGCTTTCACTCAAATAGATGAAAATAACTGTAGTAATAGGTATTTCTATATACATATTTGTATTACATATTAAAAAAATAAGATCTTGACCATACAGTAATATTCCAGAGTCTAAAGAGACTCTACCATTCCATCAAACAGGCATGATGGTTTTTTAACAAGCTGCAGAAAGTCAACGCTATTTAAATCCCAGGACTAGAAAGGTTCAACAACTATGAACAAGGGCCTGTCTTAAGAAAGCAGCGCCGTATGAATTACAGGTTTTTGGATACTCTTCCTAGTCCCTTGGGTTTGTTTTTTTTTCTAGCACTGGAAAGCACTTCAGCTGTGAATAGTACTGAAAGAATGTAGCAGGATTAGCTTAAACATACTCAACCACCTCCTGAAGGTTCAATTTAAATACCTTTCACATAGGTACATTAACAACTTAAAAAATGCTAGCCTACTTGGTTTTGCCAAGGCTCCATAGGAAATCTGTGCCAGAACTGGCAACTGATCCTAAACTCTGGAGGTCTAAGCTAGTACCTTAACCATTAGCACATCTTCAGAAGATGGATTATTGACAAGGAAACACATTAGGAGAAGACTGGTCTGGACTCCTCAGCTCTGTTGAGCCTGTCACAAGTACACTGTAACTGAGCACTGCACTGTCTTGCAGTTGTATCCCAGCTGACTATTCAAAATGGGTGTTCTTGTTCCGTCTGTCTGGATCACTAGGACCAGAATACTTTTATGTCTGGATACACTTTCATGCATACTTGTGGACTCTGTAATGAAAGAAGTCCTTTTCCTTTGCTAAAACATAACTGAAGCAAGAAGAAAAACTGTATTACCTCCATGTATCTTCTCGTGCCGCTTTAGTCGGCTGGGTGTAGCAAAGCACTTTCCACATCCTTCATTATTACATCTAGGTATAAAGTACATCGGTTTAATTTCTTTCATTGCATCCACATACTTTTTGTTAACTCAAGAATGATTAAAGTGGACAAAATAATCCAAGTTTCCCCTTGCCTGGAGATCTGTTCTGTCCCCCTCCCACCCTGTAAAAGTAAATTCCATAATATGTTTCTAATAGAGGATCTCCTCAAAAGTTAAAACTGTAGTATGATTTCCACCCATACAGCAAATGATGCTTTAGCTAAAGAATCAAGCCTCCTATCATCCCTACACAGTAAGCCCTTCGAACATTAAAGAGAGACAGAAAGCAGAGGGTTTAAGTGGCTTGTAGAGATCTTGCAGGCAGAGCAGCATCACAGTACTGACAGTATGTTTGTGCCTGTCACCCAGCCATACCAGTGCTCTTCACTTAAGGGGAACACTCCTGTTACCTGTGTTCTACCTGCAAGAAACACACAAGACTAAACTTTGCTTTCATCAGATCTATCCTGATGTGGCATGTAAATAATGGAGTTATGCACAGCTTCTCAGGCTGGCGTCCAAGCCTGTCACCTTTTTTTAAGCAACTGCTCACTTCAACACTAGCCAAGTCACTGCTTTTTACTGGAAAACAGAGATAGCGGTGTTTTTCATTACCGTGCAAGCTCTTATGTTTGTATTTCAGACTGTGTGAAGTCAAAACGGGGGTTTTCTGTTTATTTTTCCTGTGAACCTGTAATAAATCCTAAGAAAATGTCCAGAATGCTGAAGTTAGAGACTACTGAGAAAAAGACTTGTACAGGAAATGCACTTGCAGGCAAGACTACAAATTAATGCCAGTCTTAAATGCCCCATCAATGAAAATGTTGAGAAAAGGCACCTGTTGTCATCTACAGTTTTTAAATGGAATTGTTAAAGTTCATTAAAATTATCCACCTACTTGAAGGGAGGTTCACTGGTATGGTAACACTGATGAACTTTAAGTTGTTGATGTTTCCTGAAAGACTTGTTACAGCCTTCAAAGTCGCACTATGTAGGAAATTAAGTTATCATTAGAGGCCAATAATGACAGTCCAGTCCACATGCGTTTGCTGAAATCCCCTTCACAGTATTTAAACTCATACAAATACCACATCATAACAAGTTGAAGTATGTAACTGGTACACAAAAAGGAGCTTGTTTAGCCTCCACTTTACAGTATCAAAGTAACACTCACCACATACTGCTTTTTCTGATCTTCATGCTTGCGCTCAATGTGCTTCTTTAAGTTTGATTTTGTTCCAAATTTCTCATTGCATCCATCAGCTGTGCATCTGCAAACAAAATGCATTTTTTATTATCACGTTCAGTGATTTGTTTCCTCAGCAGACAGAGAAATCATTGGACAAGAGGAATACACAAAGAATAACCAAAACTCACAACCCAAATATAAAGATTTGCTTTAAAATCATAAAAGGCCAGAGGCTAAGTTACAATCAAAAGCCACAGGGAAAACATATCAGAAGATATTTTTAATAATACTCATACAAGTACGATTCATAGGAATTCCTAGCTCCTAATCCATGACATGCAGCTATTAAGGGCCAAGTAATACGAGATAACTGCCCTTCCTTCTTTTAATTCTGTATTCTGGGGAGAGATCTGCCCCTTCCTTAAGCATCTGCTATGGCTCACTGTCAGGCAGAAGGTTTTAGGCTGAGGAGATTCCCCACATCTCACCCTTTGTACACACTGCTGTGGCAGCGCTCACCATACCTTAGCCACACACCGGTTTTAACTCCCCTTCATGTCCATAAGGACAAGCATAACCCATTTAAAGAAGTAAACAGTTAAGCCTTACGCGAATGGCTTTTCCCCCGTGTGCGTAAGAAAGTGTCGAGCGCGGTGGAAATCTCTGGTGAAACCTTTGCCGCAGCCTTCATAACCGCAAACATACGGCCTCTGAAAGAGAGAGGACAGACCCTCCAGGAGGCTGCCTTCAGCGGGACGCCTCAGCATTTCAGACACAGCCCCCCCACCATGTTCTGGGTACACCGGGGGGGCCCTGGCCCCGAGCCGCGCATGCCGCCGTCGGCCCGCCGGGCCCTGGCACGGTGCCCCTCACCTCAATCACCCAAACCCTCTCTCC